ATCTGGTCATTGATTTCTACTAATATTGGCAATGAGTTAGATCAATCTGGTCATTGTCTTCTATTAATATTGCCAATAAGTTTGAATCAAAGAATTCATTTAAAGAAGTAAATTCAGAATTTGTTTATAAATTTATTAGTTTAATGTTTTATTTAATTAAATGGAATATTAAATTTTATAATACAATTGATTTAAACATCTTATATTTATAATAACTTTATCAACATTAATTCTTTATATCAAAATGAAATCTTTCTTTTGTGCCAAAAACAAAACTTTTCTTTGTACCAAAAACAAAATCTTCCTTTGTACCAAGAATGAAACCTTTCTTTATATTAAAAAAATACAATAGTATATTAATAAATTTAAAGTTGAAACTATATATGTGTGTGTGTATATATATATATATATATATATATAATAATGAATAATTTTTACATTACTATATAAGTTTTCCCTAGCAAAATTCTATTCTTAATATGTAATAATATAATAAATTCTAGTAGAAAGCATACCTAAATGACTGGGTTCTGTAATTACTTGTAAAAAATAATCATTTGTTCGCAATCAATACGAATGACAATTTTCTACACATGAGATCACAGAAACAAAAAAAAACTTTAAGGTTGTGATTATCTACAGTTTTATTAACAACCTGCCTCAAAAATTTTCATGAAATAGATGTATACTATAAAGAAACTATATATCAAATTTGGTGATGATTGCTAAACAACAAGGGCATTAAACTGGGGGTTTGAAAGTATTCAATTGTAAATTTTACTATGAAAAATTCGATGCCGATCATCAAAATTTACTATGGTGCAGATCATCTATAGTCATTAATTGCTTATAGTAACAATTGGTCAACTTCAAAATACTAAAACAAAAAAAAATTATATCATTTCAAACAATTTAACCGATAAGTTTTATTGTTCATGACTCAAACTTCAAAACTTATCGGCTGGTTTTTTCTTAACCTGAAAATTGGCAGAGCCTTAGCATTTTGAAAATTCCGAATTTTGTTATACATTTAAGAAATTGAGACTAAGTAAAT